CCATTAAAGCAGCTGTCACTCAACAAGCTGCTAAGGTCTGTTTTCTCTTTCGAGGAAGGCAAAAGTATGGCATGACTTTATGTGTGTGCACGTAATGACTGAATCCATGAAATGTGACTACAGAATCCTCCATGATTGCTTGATATACTTGATTCTTCAGGACAACACCTCCTCATTTATGTTTTCTTTTGTTTCTTACCTTTGACCTTTTGTGAATAAGGGCAGCAGAGCACAGCAGCCGCTCTCCACATTATCACAAACACTCAAGTGCCAGATCCATTTTGTCAATAAACTAGAAGGGCAAACATTAATCAGACAGCCATGACTGCATGCTCTTTTCCTGCCTGATTAAACACTCTGTCACTCATACTCTGCTTTATTCCACTTCAGAGTTCAGTTTTCTTTTCTTTTTTTTGCCTTCATGTTCGTTCAGCTTCTCATCAGCAGTCTCTCAATTCTATTAGTGATGGTACATATCGTTCGCTCTCTGTTTGTACTACATCCCAAACTCACTCATTGTTCAGGTGCTAGAGAATACACTGAAGCCCACCACATTGTCCTTGAGCTCCAAGCTAGAAAAGATGTCACTGTGTCGTAGAGCAGTGCTTCCAAATAAAGCCAGTTTGCTGTCAAGACCAATATCACTTGGTAACAAAAGCAACATCTGTCTAGTTCAACCTCAGTAAGGGCACTCAGACGTCTCCTCTCCACTCAGGAAGAAAGGAAGGAGGTGTCAGGCAGGTAACAAGAACAGATGAGGGCTTCACTGTGTCTCTTCATCTTCTAAATCTCAAAGTTATTGTGTGGTTATAGAGGGCAATATGAACTTGCCTTAAGCTGACAGCAAGGCTTAGCAGAATCAACAATGTCTTTTTTTGAGAACTTTGTTTGTGCACCATAATGTTTGTTATTGTGTACATTGTGCCAGATCTGAGCTTTTATCCATCTGCTCTGAGTCTGTGCTGTTTTAAACTCTGCACACTGTGAGGGTGAAAAGGCTGGGATATTCATTCCAGCTTGATGAAAAAGTGTTTGGCAAGATACTAAAATGATAGGAAATGTTGCTTTAGGGAAAGTTTAGTCAACCTGCATTTTGCCTCAAACTCGGCCATTTTCTCCGAGCATTTTCTCAAAGAATTGCAGAAAAAACTGTGAATTTCCAATTACGGATCAATAAAGTATCTATCTATCTATCTATCTATCTATCTATCTATCTATCTATCTATCTATCTATCTATCTATCTATCTATCTATCTATCTATCTATCTATCTATCTATCTATCTATCTATCTATCTATCTATCTATCTATAACAATTGGCACATAGATAAAGTAGAAAAGATAAATCACTATTGGAAATATAAAACATGTTCACATAATAGAGCTCCACAAGTAATAACATAAAAAAAAAGATTAATTTGATTTAATTGTTACCCATGTTAGCAGCTACCATGAATTTGACTTTTTCTCCAGTACTATATCTAATGCAAAACTAATGACATTCTCATCAACCTAATGACTTTGTGTTTAGTGCTGAATAGCGAATGTAAACTACGACGTTGATAATGGTAAACCTTATACCTGCTAAACATCAGCATGTTAGCATTCTGACATCAGAACTGCTTCACCTAAGTAGGCCACTAGCATGGTTGTACACTCTTAGTCTTGTTATTTTATTCATAGATATATTTGCAGTATTTTAAATTTGTTGATGTTTCTAGGAAATCTTTTTTTTTTTTTTTTTTTTTTGAGAGAGAGAGAGAAAATCATCCATTATGGTAGTTGCCATAATGATTTTTGTGCAAAGTAGAAAAACTAAGAATTTAAATTTGACTGTGTTTCATGAAGTCAATATGAGAAAATGAATCAGTTCTGGTAATGATTTTGCAGATGGCTTAGGATATTGTTTCTTCATTATGACTAACGTTAAAATACAGTAGTGTAGGCCAACCCCATTCAGCTATGGACAGACACGCAGGAGGCAGGTTGAATCCTGCATGGAACTCATTCAAGAACTAAAGCTACTTTGGTTGGAAACCTCCTGGTTTTCCCTAATAGCTTCAGTTTGGAGCCACGATTGCGATGTTTTTGAACCATTGATTTTACCTTCATTTACGGTCTTGCAATCACATTTTAGCTCAGAATTAATCATGGATGTATGCATGTGCTATATAGCAAGCTGATATTAAGACCAAATATCACAGGAAAAGCAAAACTTATTTTGAATTACATTTCAGAGATCTCATAGTTTCAATTCATGAGAACCAGTGGCTTAGGGTGTTCCTACTTATTTAAAGGCCCATGCACACTCCACAACAACCCTTATTCTCTTGCCCAGTAGTTTTACACTTAATCATTGTTATGCTCGCAGACAGTTTACCACTGGACCTCCATGATGTTGCCAGACTAGGTTGAAGATTTATGGTACAATTTTCAGAGCCTGTATTCAGTGATGTAATTGTTACCACTTCGTCCCTTTATAGCCCAGGTTTACAACTCCCATTGGCAATCTTGACGTTAGGTTGACTGGTTATTAACATGCCAGGAGCTCTACCTATGCTATAATTTCTAACCTGTGATCGCAGCCTTGAAATTAATTGAGTGTTGGCGTGGTTTGACAGTTTGCAGCACTCGAGAACTCATCCTAACAGCCACTGTTGTCAATCCAACCTTACACTAAATATTTCAGAATAGCCCTGAGTGGGAGGGGAAATGGGCTTGTGCGCTTTAGGCAAGACTGTGAACTTATTACTTAATGACTCTAATACATACAGGGCTGCTGCATATAAACTAAGTTTTTTTCTGTATTGTGTTGATCATTTTAGACCTTGGATATGTCACTTTTGTAGTCATGCACCAAGCTACCTTTGTTACAGGATACACTTTTGTCAAGGAGCATGCTTGGCTATGTGTGAAAAGAGTTGACACCTGATGACATATTAAATTACTCCCTGACGTGAGGTCACAGGCTCCATATCATATTCACAGCATGTCTTTTACACTGATGACCTACAATGTGCTTGGAGACTTGTTAATAAGTAATGTAACCTAGTGAACTAGTTGCAGGTGACCTGCAGTGATGCCATATTTAGGCAGCTTTGAACTTGTAACTGTAATCAGTAGCCATAAGCTGCTCACATTTGTAATTTAAGTAAAGTAACTACTGTAGATTACAGCACAATTTATGTTCATTACAACCCTGTTGTGTGTGCTTTTGTCCAGTTTACATACATGTCATTATATTACTAACATTACATAACTTCTGCTACTTCTAAGTCCTCCAAATTCCAGACATTGTCTCTCGCTGCGTTTTGAAGCTCCACGGTGCAGCTTTAAACTACTGTGTTGTCCTGAAGAACCAGCTATGAGGTAGCCTTGTGTCTATATGAACTTTAATAGACCCTCCCCTATTGCATGTCCAGTTTCCTAGAATGTACTGAGGCTGTTAGTTGCCTGGGTAACCGTAAGACCTAATGCTGTATTTCCCAGGTTACCCTCAGATTGTCCACAAGCGCGGTGTGAGAGCTCGACTCATGAGGCTCTTTCCATGCTCCACAGCCAAAAAGCCATCATCCAGTAATCAAAGCAAGTGGCTCTTCCGAGGCTCTTTCCCTCTCTCTATATATATCTCTCTGTGATGGTTTGTTTGTTGTTGTCTTAAGATGCTTTTTCCTTTCTGTTGCTTTTCTTAGTATGAGGGCATACACTCAGTATAGGCTTTAGACACACGATTGCTCGCGCCGGAGCTCAGCTACAACGCTCTACTATTTCACATAGACCATTTTGGTTTTACAGTTGAAGAAGTAAAAAGAATGCTTGTTGAATGTGTGATTTGTTATATTTATATGTAGTGTTAAGTCATTTTTTTCCACAAAGACTATAAATATGAATCTAATAGTAACACAGCTGTACGATTAAAATGTCTGGACTAATTTGATGATAAAAATTAGAACAAACTGCTATTTTATTTCTTTATAATGTGGAAGAAATCAGATTGCGAAAATAATCTTTCCTTAAGCTTCAGAGTAATACAGGTTGTATCAGTACTTCTCTGCCCTCTGTCAGGCAATTTATATCCTTTGCCCAACACACAAGTCCATCTGAGTGGATTTACATAGGTTAAAACACATCTGGGATCTCCTCACAATAGAAAAAAGGCTTTTAATCAGGTTAAAATACTTAGCTTTTTTTGCTTTCCTCCTTTTTTTGACAGTGAGCTCTGTAATGAGACAGTGACTTTAACAGGAAAGACAATATCAGGATAATAACAGTGTTTAGGTAATATCTTTTTCTTCTACAATAAAATATCAGTTAATATCACCTTTAGCTCCATATCAGCAGGTTAATTGTGGTCTGTTAGAAGACGTGGCCTTTTGGCTGAGGGCCACAATAAGACCCATGGAGCTAATGAGGCATTTAGACACTGTGTCACACTTCAGGTATATGAGAGGCCCTGCGCCAACAAGACAAGTCAAACGCTGGGCTGCGGGCACAGTGCAGTCGGTGACAGGGCCAAGACAGCATCTGCCATCATTACAGGCCCATTAAAAAGTTTCACAGCGTTCAGCTGCCCTCCTTCATGAAGAGGCTCTCTGCCACGAGGACTTTGTGACAATAACACTAATTACCACTGCTGTCGTGTTTGGTGTAAAGAAGAAGAGGTCATTCAGATTTTTGTTTGTTTTTTGTGAATTCATGTTTGCAAATCAAACAAGTTGATACAATGAAGAGAAAATTGGTTTGAAAATTGAAATCACTCAGAATGGATTTTCTTTGTTATTCGACAAGGTTACCTAAAATGTGTGGCTGTTTCATGCCAAAATGTGGCTGTTTTTGATAAATAAGTCGCAAATGTCTAGGTGTGTTTGTGCAGCTGTTGCTGATATTTGGAAGTGTAATGGGATGTTTCAAATTCTAGTCTCAAAAATGCTAATTTGCAAAGACTCTCCCCAGCATCTGTTCACATCTGACCTTCTTCCAACTCCTCTTCCTCCTCTCCAGACAGCGTCGAAGATGAGCTTGAACTATCTGCAGTCCGCCATCGCCCAGAGGGCCTGGAACAGCTTGAAGCCCAGACACGTTTCTCCCGCAAGGAGCTACAAATCCTTTACCGCGGCTTCAAGAACGTAAGTGATGAGGCCACCATGCAGCCTCAGCACCATACATAATGTACACATCAGTAGGCTTCTTTCTTGGACATCTCTCTCTCTCTCTCTCTCTCTCTCTCTCTCTCTCTCTCGCACATCAAAAAAACATTCCTTTTGATTTCATTTGATTTATTCTTTTTTTAACAATCTTTTAAAGTTTGCAGGGGTCTTAAAGTTTCTACTTTCCACTTCCTTCCTAAAATAATAATAAAGAATCTGTGGAATGCTATTTTGCTAAATCATCTACATTTTGCACGAAATGTTATCATGTCCAATTGTGCTTACCACAGAAAATTGAAATTTCTGTACATCGTTCACTGTGCCAAGGATAATTAGGTCATATCTTGCACACACTGTGGAAGATTACTGATGAGCAATCAGGTCAGAGTCCTCCAGAGCAGCCCATATGAAACCACCTCACTTCATTGTCACCTCTGGTGTGAGGCGTAATGAGATGACCCAGAATTAACTCAACCCAAATTGTCTGGCAATGAAAGAGAGGAGGATAGCGAGAGTCCTGTGATAGTGAAATTCCCATGGGGCTTCAGTTTCCTGTTGAGCCTGCACTATGCTCCAGCCAAGTCCCTGCAAAGCCTGCCCATTAGTCCGCTTCCACTTGAGACAGAGAAAGAGGTAAGAAGTGTACTAATGAGGCCTTTAATTTGTGCCACACACTCTACCGAAGTTCCTCTGACGCTGAGGGAGAGAATATTGCATATGTTTATAGACACCCTTCCAGTTTTTTTTTTTCACATTACAGATTTTACTTTGTATTTTTAGCCACGCTAGAAATGGCAATGTCGGTCGGTCAGTCGGTCCAACACTTTGGTCCAGCCTGAAATATCTATTGTATTATAAATATCGGATGGATTGCAAATAAATTATACCTACCACTAAAATATCTCAATATTTACAAGATGGATAGACACAACATTTTGGACAGACATGTCCTCCCAGACAACCTATCCTAAAAGTTAGGGGTGATCCCCTCAGTTTTCCTCTACGGTCACCACGAGGTTGACATTTGAGTAAAATGTCTCAACAACGATTGGTTGGAACGCTATGAAACTGGGTGTAGATATTCAGGATAAAAATTTAATAGCTTGGTCGCCCTTCCGATTTTAGCGCCACCATCAGGTCAGAATTTTGTCCAATCGTTTTAATGACCAAATGAAAAAAAAGACATTTCTTTCAGCTTCAGCTGTTGTTTTTAACACACATTACAGTTATTTTGTGTGCTAAGGATAAACCTCCTTTTCATTTTCATTCAGAGTTAATCATCAATACTGTGTAATTAGACAGAGTTTGTGGCGTAAGTCCAAAAAGAGAGAGTCATGGAACTTAAATTACAGCTACTAAACAGCTTTTGTCCATCACTGAGTCCATAGAGTAGCTCATTTTTAGCTGCCAGGGTCAAACAGCTCATCTCTGTCGTGCCCCAACTTGGTGACATTGGCAGAATAAATGCAAGCTTTTAAGGCCAGCCAGAGTAATAGAAGCTGGCATCGTTCCCAAGATGAGAAATCTGGCCCTTTGTCCTTGACGTCCAGGGTTTCGAAGCAAATCAAATGCCTTTAATGCAGGTGGCAGGATGAGGTCGTCTGTCTTAACAACAAACTTGTCGTTCACTTGTAGTGCGGGTGGTCAAAGTGGAGCTTTGTCTTAGATCCAGCAATATGTCTTGCAGGGACCAAAACAAGACCTCTGGCTCTGGGTCTGGCTCTTAAGGTGGAATTTGAGCAAAGGGCACCTTAAAGGTATGAGAGAATCCATTGTTTCATAAATCCCTTGACCCCAAATTACTGGAAATAACACTATATTGTCCTCACGTCTGGCTTAGTCTGCTGGGCTTCACAGTTCACAGTCAGGGGCATTGCCTCAGGCATTAGATTAGGATCTCACAGTTCTCTTCCATCAGCGACGATGCCTCTGTTCACAGGTTTATTTCATTCCCCACACTGCTTATTGCCGCATCGCTTCACCGGCCTCGGAAAGGAATTTCACAGATTGTATTTCTGATTTTATTATCATGGATGAGCAAATTCTACAAGCATATCAAATGAATACAAATACATTTTCTGACCTCTTACTCCGTCTAATGGGATTGGCACTGAGTAATGTGTAAAATGGAACAACATGCAAGAGCAAGTGGAAAATGACACCCTCATTTTTTATCATTATACATACCATGCTTCTTATATTAGTCTGTCTGCTCTTCTCCTATTATTTCAGTTTCGATTTGGAGGTGGATGAAGGAATATACAGATATAAAAAACTCCAATAAAGAATTGGAGATGACAGGTAGAAAATAAACAATTATAAATGCATCTTCACAAATTCCATTAACATCCATGTTCCCTGAGATGCTTAGAAAAATTCCTCCTCAGTGCTGATGCAGAGAAAAATGCATCGCGAGAAAACCACTTTCCCAAAAGTAGTGTGTGAATGAGGTCCCGCCTTTTAGCTTAGCAACATCAAAGTTTATCCTGACGGGACCTTAAGGCAGTTCGGGCATCAAGTGAGTGTAACTATTTCACTGAACTTTAAATTGAATTGCAGAGGCACTGTGTTGTACGTGATAATAACTAGATAACACACTGGCTTCATTCTCAATTGGAAAAACTGCCTCCCTCGCTACTGTCACCATGAGGCTGAACAGAGACGATAAAATACGTTCAGATGAATTCTGCCGTCAGTGTGAGACTCAGTTCAACAATCACAAAGTTTTGTTGACCTTTAATTTTCCTTCAGGTTTGTGAGGAGTTAGCGAGGAAGAAGAAGAAGCTGACTTGGAACACAGCCATTCGTAGATTACTGTCACACTTAATCAGTGCGTTATTACTGTTGACAGCTGTAATTGCACATCCGTGTACAGACACACACAGAGGCGTGCACAGACTGTACAGGCGAGGTGAAATTACATGTTTTAAAAATCCCCCCCTCACTTTAAGTACTTAATTACATGACATTTCTTTGCACTACTTCAACAAAAGGTTGACTGTTGACAGCCAATTTACTGCAATGTTGCAGAACATAAACAATGCTCTAATTAACAGAAGCTCTTCTAAGCAACAAAGAAATACTGCCTGAATCAAATGTACAATGATGCTGTGGAGCAACTTTGCTCTAAGAGTGGAAATGTTTCGTGTTCAAGGTGTTCTACCAACATGAACGTCTCCGCTGTCTTTGTTTCACAAACTAGTATACTCAACATAAAATTCACTTTCTTGCCAGGACTTGGATGAAAAGATCGATGCCGTTCTCATATCCGTGCATTAAATACGAAGCTACAGCCAAGAGAAGGTTACCCTAGTTAGCTTGTCATGGGAGTCACCGTACCCAGCCAAGAAATATTACAGCACAAACCCCCTTAAAACCACAAAGTGTTGTTTTTACACCTCGGTTTCTGTGTGGATTAAACCTATTAGATACTGTGTTAATTAGTGAGCATTAGAGGTGCTGGTAGGCAGATTTATTTTACCCCTTCATGTTAATCTAGTGCCATCATCAGGTTGATTTATTTTTTTTTATTAAATACCTGTAGAACTATTGGCATTCCCATGAGCTTTAGCTGTACCTTGTGTATAGTGCTAATTAGCAAATAGTAGCATGCTAACACAATAAAGATGGGGAACGAGGGTAGTAAATGTTGCATGGTTACATAATGGTCATTGTACCTAGAAAACATCAACACATTAGCATTGTCACTGTGAGCTTATTAGCATGCAGACTCTTGGTCTTGGTTTAGCTTCAGGCGAAGCCAGACTAGCTGTTTCCCCCTGCTTCCAGTCTGTATGCTAAGCTAAGCTAAGCTAAGCTAACTGTTGTTATACATTTTAATGCACAGACATGTATCTCTCTTTCCTTTTCTTCTCTTCTCACTCTCTTCTAACTCTCGGAAAGACATCAAATAAGTACATTTCCCAAACTATTCCTTTAAAATTTGCAGCTGCTCTTTTTTCCCCTACAATAATATTCGTCAAAAAGGTCAAATCAGCAATTTCAAACCGCTTGAATCGTTTTCTCAATCCTTGCTTCTATTTCCAATATAATTCTAGTGCTGTTTAGTCCGTCCACTGTGTAGAGCAGTTTTCCAAATGATACATCATTTGGATTTATACACTAGTTTAACGTGAACAGCACCACACACTCCACAAACTCGCAGACTTCATTAAATCAGGTCTCAGACTGCCGAAGTATAATTTCAAGACAGATTTGTGCTCATTCTGTCTCCCTAACTTCCCCCAAATCCTTGACCTCATCTCACCCCACAAGATATGTAACTGGGTCTGTGAGACTACAGAAGAAGAGTATCTGGGGACTCATGCAGACAACCTTGCAGCATCCGTTTGGCTTGAAACACAAGGAGCCCGTTTGAAGCAAAACAAAAAGGTTTCATCTTCATTTCTTCACACCCACAGCTCTGTTTCCCAAAGTGGCTGATCAGACATGGTCACAGTAAGGAGGAAACCCAGTGTACCCTGTGATTCTCACATCCCATAGACATGGAGGAAATAACTGAGTGGATAAAACACTCTTACTTAGTTTAGTTAGACATAGTTTCTTGAACAAAAATTGTTTTAAATGTAATTTTCAGATAAAGGTATTGACGTGCATAGATATTTTTAAATTTTATTTTCTAGCTGTCGGATTTATGTTTACACTGTATCAGAGGTGTTCATGTTATTGTATCCACCCCATGTACAATCTGTTCCTTATCTTTGATTTCCTACAACAACCTCTATTGTGGCCATGGTTTATTTTCTTCTATAGAAAACCCAGAGACACATGTGCCCTCGGCTTGGAAATCATCTATATAGCCGGAGCATTTCCTCTGTTCCAAAGCTTCAATATCCTGCCAGAGTGTGCAGCCTCGCACCAAGCAGAAATTGAACCTGCAAAACTAACTGCATTTATCACTAAGCTGCTCTGAACAAGGTCATCCACCAAGTCTTTGGTTGGCCCTTTTCTTATAAAGGAGACAAAAGCATTCTTCTTGGAGGGTGTTATGTAAGATTATTCAGTCTTTTTCCACGGAATGCTACCAGACAACCCCAGGTGGGTGACTCTGAATGGCTGTGGACAAGATATCTGTATCTAGGCTTGGATGGTTTGCAGTTTAAATCACCAGATTTAACACGAGTCTTTATCTATACTGACTAAGAAATGGTAAAGGGCGGATGGACCAAAAACGAAAAATAGACATAGAAATGAATATAGTTGAATAAAACAATCCAGAGATGTACCAGAAACAAATGTACTAATTTGAAGTTAGAGAGTAACTTGACATCAAACCGTTATACAGTGTTTCACTGCCCTCTCTGGTTGAAAATTTCAGGGCAGCCGCATCTCAAAAGTGATATCATGGTGTACTTAACACAGCCAGGAGTACACTCCTACATCACTGAAGCAAGGTAACAGGTTTAACCACTTGAGGTCAACATTAACAACATTTTCAGCTGCTGTTAAGTTGATCTGGCAAGAAAATATTTCTTTAAAAAAAGAAAAACTAAGGTAATGTTTGGCCAGACTGGAAGACTGGGTGACATCTAAAAAGAATTAGTCTGATATGATATATGAGGAAATAAACTATTTTAACATTCTTAACATTGCATCCTCTTCTTCCCAGAATCTATGAATATGCAAGTATTCTTTTAAAATGTTTCCTTCTACACTGAAAATGCATTTTTTAGGGGAAGTGCACTGGAGATTTCAAGTTTCAGTCATACTTACTTAAGTTGTATATTGGATCATGATTGGCATGTCTTAAACTCAGATTTAAGGCAAGGACTTTAATACAGGAGGAAGTATTTAATATAGATGCTGAGTGACCTGTGCAAATCTATTTTGTCTTCCAGGAATGCCCCAGTGGAGTCGTCAACGAAGAAACTTTTAAAGACATCTACTCGCAGTTCTTTCCACAAGGAGGTTTGTACCATGCTCTTATTCAGAAGGAGCCCACTGCTTTGTATTTGCAGCTTGTCTTGCCTCTCACAGCTGTCTCTTGCTGTCTCTTACCTCCTCTGTGCGCTGGAACGACACAAATTGTCTTTCACTATTTCACAAAAAAACAATTCCAGAGTACTTTAAGTTAAATTTCCATCCAAGAAAATGTGAGAGAAAAAAGGGAGAGAGGGAGAGGGAGAAAATATGCAGCTTGGGGTTGGCTCTCATCATTATGCAAAGATGCTACCCGAGGAACAAGAGAGAAAACATTAGGAGGCTTTGATATATCTGTTCAGAGAGAAGAAAGGCAGACCAGTAAAATAATGGCTCACCACACAGGAAACAATGATAAAACTCTTAGCTCTAAGCATATTGTTCTTCTCTTATCATGAAAGAAGAAAAAAACAATATGAGGAACATTTTTACTTTGAAGTTGTTCAAAAGCTACAAAACTTTCCCTTGAACCATTTTTTGTTTGCAGTAGATGTTTCTAATTGAATTGTGATCACTGCAGACCCTTTTTTGATTCTACACCTGTTTGTTCCCTCCATAGATGCTTCAACATATGCACATTTCCTCTTCAATGCATTTGACACAGATCACAATGGCTCTGTGAGTTTTGAGGTAAGTTATTATCATTATATTCCTACTGTTGATCAGATACATGGCTACATGTGGTTTTCCAATTGCTACATGATAACACCTAAGTGAAGAAATGTATCTTCATCTCAGTAACTAGTACACTGTGTATTCTGGGAATGTCAACCATTTCAAATAACGGCAAACCTTGTTCATTTGCTACAAAATTCTATCAAACTTAAGATTTTTAAAGCTTCAACTCTGCAAGTCATTACACTGGAGCATTATGTAACCACCAACCCCAATAATTTGAATTTAGCACAAGCAAGTCTGCTTGAGATGCTATCAAGTCATGATTAATATTTATGAAGGGCATATATTTGCTTATTAGGACAGTAAAAGCTGTCATTATGCCAAACCAGAGTTTCACTGGCTAATGTGCGGTCCATTCTGTTCAAAAGTACTGGGATTCCCGGGCGCCGACACAGATTATGAGTTGGCTAATAATTTGAATAACGAGGTATTTTTGATTTTTTGTTTGTGCTCTTGCTGTTTCATCATTTCCTTTTATTTAATACCTGACATAATATCCTTGTAGAAACGTTGATGTATGAAATACTACCTACATTTACATGTGCACAGTTGAATACTTGATGTTTTTGTTGATGTCATAGATTTTCAAGTGCTTGTTGTTTACAAAAAGCTTGTTTTTGAATGTATATTTTGTATAATTCTCAGTAAATCTTGTTTTCCCGGCAGGATTTTGTTATGGGCCTTTCTATCCTCCTGCGAGGCACAATCCAGGAAAAACTCAACTGGGCTTTCAACCTGTATGATATTAATAAAGATGGATATATCACTAAAGAGGTATGTCCATTGAAACTGTGACAACGGTGAAAAGAGCCAATCACTGAGATACCCATTATCCACCTTTCATATGAACTAGATCTCAAGGCTCACATTGTTAAGTGATTGTCAGTATTGCTGAAAGTACGTCAGGTTTTGTTTTTAAAATACTCAACAATTTGTATAGACGTGTGTAACAGGTGTAATGTTAACCATGTTCAACATCTCACAATCAAAACACATAAAAGGAATTTGACTCCGGTTTTATGTTGCTCTCTATGTACAAACACAGACTAAGCATAAATAAACAGGACTTACCAAAATAGACATAAATTACGATGTACAGTTTATATATATATATATATATATATATAAACAAACAATAACACTTGTAGACAGTAGACAATCTTAGTAGTTTAGCATATTAGCATGTTTAAATTTGCTAATTAGCACTAAAGGCTCATACTCTTATAAAAGTGAATAAACAATGACCTGATGATAGCCCCAGATGCAAAATAAGGGGATCACCAAAGTTATTACATTCTATCTTGAGGGACATAGTGGGGCTGCCAAATGTAATTGAAATCCATCCAATAGTTGTGAGGACATTTCACTCAAAACCACAAATGTGAGCCTCATGGTGGTGCTAGAGGGAATGCAGTTTCAATAAAACACGCCAACAGTGAGGTCTGTGGATTAGCCAGACGAACAATGACACTGCTCTTCTCAGCTTTCCAAATGTCATTTTTTAAATTTTTGAGCACCATTAATAGTAATATAATATTAAGTTTTTTGTTTTTTTGTAATTTGGGTGAACTGACCCTTTTTCCGCATGTCATAGGAAATGCTAGACATCATGAAGGCCATCTACGACATGATGGGAAAATGCACATACCCTGTTCTCAAAGAGGAGACGCCTCGTCAGCATGTAGAAGTATTCTTTCAGGCAAGTGTGTGTGGTTGGCACCATTCACTGTGCTGCGACTGTCAGTCACAGCGAGGAGGCTTTAGAAAACTTTCCCTATATTTGTTTTTCATCTTTCCTTCCCTCTGTCTCCAACAGAAGATGGATAAAAATAAAGATGGAGTGGTAACCATAGACGAGTTCATCGACTGCTGCCAAAATGTAAGCTGGATATCCCGACACATCTCTTTCCCTTACTGTTGGCACACTTTGCATTTTCTCATTACATTGTTTTCTTTTTGTGCGCAGGATGAAAACATCATGCGATCAATGCACCTCTTTGAAAATGTTCTTTAACTTTTGGCTGACAGTGGAAGGCTTTGGAAGAGAACACCATCTTTAGCTTGGCCCAATAACTGACTTGGACTCATACTGTGTACAGTGTGCTATGCAGACTTTTGACCATAGATAAAATATTGTTCATTACTGTGGGCCACGAGTAGGAGTAGGCAATATGGTGCAGACACTCTGGAATTAATTGCCCGTTGAGCATTTTATTGAAGAAGTAGAATTACATAAAAAAACAAATAGAAAGGACAGGAAAAAACTAAGTTTTTGAAGCTATAGTTTGACCTTTCAAAATGAAAACATCCTAACTCCAAGGTTGATTTCCGCCACCTGTTTCTGGAGTGTCTCTCTATTTGCTGAACACCGAGTTCAGCAACGTGTGATAGCCTCCGACGTTATAAACACAGACATTTCCGATGAAGGGGTTTAGACCGGTTCCTTCCGTCTCTGTTGCAGCCGTGACTCGTTTTATTTACTGCCAGGTGAAATCACTGTGAATTTTTACAGCATCAAAAAAAAAAAAAAAAACTGAACAAAATATCTGACGTCTCTGTTTTGACATTCCAGACCGGCTCTCAATTCCAGAGTGTTCTTACCCCGACTTAATTAACCATTGTGGTCTGTCTTTTTGCTCTTTGAAAGGAAGCATTTAGAGAAAAACAACACATCCATTGTATCATTTTAAATTGTACATACTATAGATAAAGCATTAGATAAGAACTCTATGAGAAACTTTTCAACTTTGTTCATGTTTACTTGCCAACTAGAATGAGACAACACAAGGATTGTATTGATGTCAAATCGGACCATAATATCGATGGTTTGTCTACAGAAGCACACAGGTAGCTATATTTACCATGAGTATAACATTAGATGACAATATCTTTGACATAAGATAAATGCTGCTTTCGGTGTATTTCATTTAACCCTGTGTATGTACGTTCCCTGTAAAGTAAACCTATCCATATGTTTTTATTTTTGTTTTTGCAGCACTGTTTAGGAGTTTACACTAAGAACAGTACTGGAGATTATTTATACGGTATTATGATCATTGTACAAAAATATTATCAGTTGTACAGTATTAAATGAAAGTTTGCTCTCGGGTGAATTACAGATCTTTAGATTTGTCCATATAATTCACTGTTTTTAGTGGGGGTTTGGTTGTTGATAAAAACACTGTAACTTTGTATTATACTAATCATTTTTGGGTTGTTGGCTAATATGCTTCCTGCTGTTTTCCTCCTCCTCTTCCTCCTCCTGGTCCTGTGGGCTAAAGTCTGGCTGCCCACACCTATTCAACCTGATTGGTTCCTGCTGTCTGTGATTAAAGCATTGCTTGGCCCCAAATGTGAGCAAACACAAGGCATGCTGGGTAGAAGTCTCACTCACTGATTTCCTCTTGCTCGTTGGAAACTACTGGATCACTGAGAGAAGTGTCTGGACATTATGTAAGTAAGTTAAGAGTGTTGCAATATGACTTGTTCTTGTTTTTATCAATGACTTGGATATTGGATACAGGAAGTATCCATCAAACCAGCTGTATACTTGACAAGTGGCTGATGTTTGCTGAATAATTTGCAGCATTTGACAGTTTATCATGTTGTTTTTCATTCATGCAGTCTGTCAGTGCACTGCGTTACTGGCAGTCGCAATCACAAACACAAAACTCCTCAGTGAGGCATGTTACTCATCTATTCATTAAGTAAAGAAAATGGCACATTTTTCTCAGTTGTATTCTTTCTGCTCATATTATTGAAGGTAATGTTTATATTTCCCACCATGAAATGCATCAAACCTGCCATTGTTTCCTTAATTTGTGTGCCTTAATGTTTGTAAAATGTTACATGTAAGTGTGGTTGACAACTCAAGTTTTTATTCTTAGGAATATGATTATAAACTGATGAAATTGGGGGGACTACATTTACTACATTACCCACTTCTAAATATATCTACAATAGATCCCAAAAAACAATCAAGTCTATGACAAAAGTGACAAAAATAAACAGTACAAAAAGCTTACAAATGTGTGTTAAATGGACTTAATACACATTAAAGTCTGTAGTATACTACATGTTTGCATATGGTTATCAAAACCACGTCAGGGCACTGTAACGGTATCATTTAGAAAAAATGATTTAGTTCAGAACAATTGAACTTTTATCTTTACAAGTGTTACACGACGTATTACAATACTGGTGCATGTTTAAATTAGTATGATTGACATAAAACGCTTCATGGGTTTCAACGGCTGCAGAGACAAACTGGTTGTATATTCAGAATATCTTTCAATCCATATTCGATGTAGTGTCATCTCCTGCCCTCTCATGGTGGAAACAGGATAACACACTCTAGGACAAAATTACTTTTTGCCATCTTGACAAGATCAAAGATCATGAAAGAACAAAATTAATATTGTTTACTGTGTGTGTATTGATTTTAGTGTTTATTTGTATTTCAGTCTTGTGTAACTGTGATCCTAAAGTGAATCTTGGATATTATGACAGAAGATGACCAGACTGCAGCAGACTGAATATGTAAATCTTGATTAGATACACAGTCACTATAGTTGTCCGGCTTTCAGTAAATTATCTATTAAATAAGTATTAATAACTAATAAGGAGTTTACATTAAACATTTTCTTCAAAAGGAAAATCACATTTAAATATCATTTTTTTAAATTTATTTTCTGTACTCTGTACTTTGTAAGGCTAAATAAATTGACCAACAATAGTTATGTCAAGAATTTAATTCAGGCATTTCTTGAAGGTGTGGGATAAATGACACATGGCACACCGAACCTATTAATTTCCAAAAGTCTACTCAAAATACAACCGTTCATCTTTCCAGTTAAATTGAATTCACTTCTTCCAACTTAAAATAGTAAGGTACTCAAATTACCTGAGATAAGTTTGCATACAAACCAAAAAGATTGAAATCAGCCATAAACCTCTAGGACATATATATATATATATATATTTTAACATATTTTTTAACAGCTATTATATCAACTTAAGGCAGATGGTAATATTTTGGGAACACCAGTTGTGTATTCCATGTACAAAAAGACTTTTTGTAGGCCACACATACACACAATTGTACAAATGCATACATGAATTATACAGAAGCAATTACTTCTACAAAAACAAGCAATGCATTACAGCATGATGCTTTTACTGCGCTGACACTTAAGACTGAAATGTTACAAGGTTTGACTGAATTTGGGTTGAACGGTGAGCTTCTTTTACACTTAAAGTATTTTACGACACTTTTGGCACAAACCTGATTTTGTAAAAAAAATAAATCAATCCAACAAGAACAGATCGTTTTTCCCCTTGTTGGATTGTTGTGTGGCAGTTTTAGAAAACAAGCTTTACATTTGGTCCCTGATCTTTTTTCCTTTGATGCCTCTCTGCATCGTCCGCGGCCCTTTCCTCTTTCTCATTACAAATTAAAACAAGTCTCAAACATCCCTTTTTAGTTCCAATCGTGACTCGTTCAGTATAGAAAAGAAATAAATTTACTTCGGGACACATTAGTTGGTCCTTGTTCCTCTATGTGGAGCAACAGCTGTGTTCATTTCATATTTATGTCAGGACTCCAAAACAAAACGTTTTCTGCGTCACTGCGCACTGTGAAGATCATATCTCTGCTATAAATGGTCAAAGAATCAGATTTTTTTTTGGTGGGGGACGTGTGTGAATCGAATGCTTTCAATCACTCATTGTGTAATGACAGGAATAATTCTCGTTCTGGCAGCAGAGGCTTTTAGTTTGGCATTGTTTCTGCTAAACTATAAAGTACCTGGTACTGTGGACACACTATTAAAATGTTTTTTTTTTTACTACATTTGCCACTAAGACAGCAATAGTGTGATAAAACGTAGAAATGTCTATAAGTTGTTTAAATACTGTAAAATTTATCTGGACTTTATTCAAAAAGAAATTAAGATTTTAAAATTAGTTACAGGAGAAAGTCATGTATAGCAAAGACTGGCAAACTTTCTTTTTAAAGTGAACGTCTACAGTATTGCCCACAAATAACCCCTTGTCTTGACACTAAATCAACAAAGTGAAATGAAGAAACGCTTGACTCAATTGACTGCGCAGTGGAGATCTATGTTGTATTGCTTATGCCAATGGGCTTTATGCCAAAATGCATTCCAGCCTGAGGCACTGATGTCATTCCGGTCTCCACAGTCCATCACACACAAGTATCTGTGCGGGAAATTGCTGGATGTGTTGTCCATTTCATTTCTCCAGTTTTACTTGGAAGTTCCTCAAGTGGACAAGTGGTTATTTGAAGATCATACTGTGTGTATACTAAAGCGTGTTGGAAAGGCAGCTTTGGACTCTCGAGGTTAAATCTCAAAAGGCTCTCCCTGGTTCCTTCTTTCTTCTTCTGTCTTTGTAAAACGCTTAAAGTTCCATTCCTTAAGAATTCAAATGGAGCCAACTGAGACTGACCCTGTGAGATCTGTGCATGGTCCGTTAGATGCCGTGTTCCTCCCAGGCTGGTTGGGAAGGGGGACGCTGAGGCCAGGCGTTCAGGGGGGTTAAGTGAGCAGCTGCCTGATCTCTCGGTGAACGTAGCAAAGGAAGTCCATGTAGGAAGCTCCGCCGTGCAGGCCTTTATCCTCCACCAGGAACTGACGGAACAACAACTCCGGTTTGTCCTTCTGCCTCACGATTTGGAGCTGAGAGGGGGAAAAAAGTAAGCGAATGTGATTTGGTTCCTGTCCAAATGCAAGTTACTGACCATTGATGTATTGGCATGTGACTAATGGTTGTTTAGGTATGCATAACATGTTTCACATCCATGTAAACCTCTCTCGTTTGTTTGGTTTGTATGTGTTTTTGTTTCATTTGAAGATTGGGATTGATTTAGAGTAATAAATGTTATTCTAACTAATTAGTCTCCTGTAATTGAGTTCAATTATATCATACAGTTTCCTTGCCTATCCATTTAGACACTGATATAATTTGCATTCTTGAGCTGTAGTTAATTAGCTGGTTTAAGCAACATGACAATAAAAAATATTAAATGAGGTTGTTGTAGCAGTTGTGGGGGAAAACATTTGCTTACTTATTTGCCCCACTAGAGGGAGGCAGAGATCATTAAAAGCTGCATGGCAGTTAGCTTAGTTTGTTCTACCCTATTGTTTTCTCTGGTACTAATGAATTTGGTTTTAAACTAAAGATCTTGGGAGTATGTTGCTGCTCTAGATATCTTACTTTCATGGAGTTCGGCCTCTTTTCAAGCAGGCCAGTGATGATGGATCGGATCTTCTTTGACAATGGGTTGTCCAGTTCCGGCAGGGCACACTGAAAAACACAATTAGTAGTTTTGTTAAGTCTAAAATAAGAGTTTAAAAAGTCACTGGCACTATTTCAACACTATACAATATATTATACTTGGAGGTGTAAAAGAACATTGATCCAGCATGATGTATTGATTTGAGGAACAGCCTTGATTTATTAAGTTGAGATCATTTGAAAACAGTATTAAATGAAGTCATAATAATACTGCCGACTGTCTGCCTACTTTGGCACATTTCTGCTGTTTCCTTCTCTTATGTACCAGTACCAAGTGTAGTTTGAGCTCTGCTTTCAAAATAAATGTGCATCTTTGAACTTTGTGTGAGATTTATGTGTTTAATTACAGCATTCAGTTTAGCTCATTTTACAGGCTAAACTGGTCTACTATTTGGATGTATCAAATTATTCATACTGGATCAAATCGTGGTCAGATGTAAGGTTTTATTACGAATTCAATCTCTGACTTGAGTTATGAAGTGTCTCAAAAGTGGATTTGTAATTCCGAGGCGTACTGCCTAACCAAACACCCAGACATTCTCTTACTGTACTGTAATGCCTCCAGGCACAACAGATATCTCCTTTTACATCTCTAAAAAACAGATACTGTTTCATTTGGTTTCTAAATATGTTTACGTCAAAGTGCTATTATTCTGACCATGTGTCCTTGCAGGTGGGCGAGGGAGGGCAGGTTAAGGATGTTCTGGATGAGGTCTGGCGGGCTCGCTTGGCCCAGCCACAAAAACATGGAGTGGCCGTTCTCCAGCAGGAACATGCCAGAGTCCGTCAGACGCTCCTCTGAACAGCGCAGTGGAGCAGGCGGGGCCTCGCTGCTGACGTCCGTGTTGTGCTGAAAGAAATGACACATTTATTAGATTACAACGCTGTCTGACATTTCCCTCCAAGATGTGAGTGCTCACAAAGAACTTGTGACCATAATTCATTAGATTTTAAACGTAGAAGGTAAATACACCCTTCTATTTGCATTAATGTAATATATATGTATGTATGTATGTATGTATGTGTATATATATATATATATAAATAAAAAAACCACTCAAAGATTCAAAATTTGAGTGGATTTATCTCACCAGTGAAAAAAGGAAGTATGAAAGGACAGTGAGTGTCCTTAAAAAAAGTTTCTGTACACTCAGTGTGTGTGAGTTTGTCCCCTACCAGTGGGATGAGGCGTGGGTAAAGCAGCAGCTGTGTGTCCTCCACCCCCATGCCCATGACCGACAGCCTTTGATGGGCCCTGTCGTCTGTTGAGAGCTCTGTGCTGCCCACCAAGGGAGCAGTTTTCATGAGGCTGTTCATGTAGACTGGGAACACCTTCATGGCATCAGGCAGGATCAGCTACATATGGATACAGGCATAAAAAGGTCACCTTGTGAGAGACGGCGTAATAAAAATCTGTAGTTACAGACACAATCAATCCACATCAAGGAGTTCTTTGTATCGTAAAAATCAAATCTTCAATTCAACCAATTATATTCCAGGTGTTGTCCTGATCTGACCTGGCTGGCTGCGGAGGGGCTGGCACAGTTCTTTCTGTAGCAGGCCAGCATGTGAGCTGTCTGGTTGACCAGGATCTCCTTCACATTCTTTAGAGGCTGGTTCAATATGGCACGGTAAGCTGAGTGGGCATGAGAAAAGTTTGGTTAAAAGACGAGGAGAGAGGGATGGGAGGAGCAGAGGGGGCTAACTGGCA